CCAGGATTGCTGGGAGTTGTAGTCCAAGAACATCTGGGGACCCAAGGTTGGGAACCACTGGAGGGAGGACATAGATGGGAAATGGTGCCCTAACACCTTGTTTCCCATCGGATTTCGGGCCAACATTTTGGAACTGCCATCTGCATTTCGGTTTACCAATAGCAGGTTTCTGAGGACAGCAGCAACCAGTAAGTTTTACAGAGTTCTTAGAATTCTTCCTTCCTTCCTACTCCTCCAAATGTTGTTACACTTTTGCCTCATGAACAGTTCTGGAGGACTCACAAGCTTGCTTTGTTTGTAACTTTTCCATGCATTATCACATGCTGGTTTTTCTTTTCTTTCCTTTCCTCCCTCCATGTGGATATCAGGCAGCCCACTCTGGAGATTTTTTTAAAAAAAAACTTCTCCCTTAGTCTGACTAGATTGCTCAGTGGTTTCAGAGGAGCCGGAGGCTGGGCATTGGAATCCCCCCACTGTGCCTTCCTGTGAGTAGAACCAGCCCAGGGAGCCTGGGGCCAGCTGCGCCATTCCAGGGCATCCCCAGAAAGAAGGGAAGGAGAAACCACTTCTTCTGAGGATTCTCTACCTTAGAAAAGGCTGGAAAGGGGTCACCCTAAGTCAACATTGATTTCTATAGCCTTAAAACTGCAGGGCTGGAAGGGGCCCTTTGGATCCTCTTGTCCAGCCCTTCTGAAGGAGGCACAGAGGGGAATCGGACCCCCCCCCAACCAGAGGCTTCAACCACAGAGCTGTCCAGCAGCTGGCAGCACATGAGTACCATTTATTCTATCCTATCTGTAGTTCGATGAAGCCCCACTGATCTTAGGGCAGCACAAAGGGCCTGGCAGGGGCTAGAGGGGGCATCAGCCCCGATTTTTGGCTTGGAGAAGGGGGGGAGAGCGGGGTCCCAGCCAGGGGGGACCCAAAGCTTGCTGGTGGAGGGCCTGGCTTGCTCTCTCTCTCCCCCCCAATGGTCTGCATCTCCCACCACCCGTGGGGGGGGGAAGGCGTGGAAAAGTTACCAACAGTGTTAGGGAGAGCACCGGCAGCTCCATCTCATTCCTCTTTGGAATTTACAGGCTGTAGTGGATCTTGATGGGCCGGG